TCTGTTATTTTAGAAAAACTGCTGATGGTGGAAAAATACACCGAAACGTATTTTAATTGATAAATAGAGACAATAAATGACTGAAACCCAGGAATTAATTTTGGTTTAGGCATAATGTCAAGTGTGTCTTAAATGAAAAGACAGAACAAGAAAAGAGTCAAATCAATTAAATATGTGTACAATAGACTCAAATACAAAGTTGTGTAAAAAATACAAGGGTTGGTTATACTAACACAGGCAAAAATCAAATCCTACGACATACGTACAAATGGAAAAATATGTAAACCTAATTTTCGTTTAACGCCGTATGTAGAAAATCTCTAAAAGCAAATAGAACACATTTTTTTCAATAAAAATCTACTCCAAAGTATAATTTATTAAAACATTAAAGCTTAAGTGCGCTCTATTAGTTCACTTTATCTGGGCACGTGGGAAATCGGATTAAATGTTCCTTTTTTGTAACTAGAAGCAAAGTTTTAGTTAATATCAAGTTTCTACAAGAAAATATGGAAGCAGCAAAAATAGAATAAAAGTTTAGGACACTTTACTGTAATCTTACTTGACGCTGGCAAACTTTTTGGAGTGGAAGTTAATCGCAATTGTTCTTGCAAACTGCATTTCTGTATAAAATCTATAATAAATTACTCAAAAGCTGCCATAATGGCTTTTCAGCTACATCGATCTATGTTAAGTTTAATTGGCGATAAATGAATAAGCCGATTTTACATGAAAACCATAAAACTAATATTTTTGTTCTGTGGTTCCACTTATGCCAGAAACGATATTTCCAGATTATGTATATGTAAAACTCTAAGTATATTTTCAGATGACATGTTATACTGGCAACTTTCGTAAATATTCCTAAGATTTTCAAAGAAAGAATATCAACAATCTAAGTTTAAAGATTGGGGAAGAGACATCAGAGATGATAGGCAAATACCTAAGTGAATAAATCTCAGAATTTTATTTGATACAAAATATTGTTTAAACTTATTTATACTTTGAAGACGCCCAGCTTGCAAAACATCAGAAAAAAGTTATTTTCCACGACAGCTTAAAAGCCTGAAAAAAATACAAGTTTTCACCACCACGCCTTTTTTTACCTTATGTATGAACGAGTGAGTACCTACACCAAAATGTAGATTTCAAGCTACAACTTTTCCACTCAACATTCGCTTATAAAATCATGGTTTAAATAAATAGAGAATTGTTCGAATAATATAAAACACCTTCTACAACTGGGCCGCCAAACGTTAATACTCTTGTGCTGGAAGTTATCGACCCGAACAATATGAGAACGTTGTGTTTCATAAAACTGAAAGTTATGTTTATTCCCCAAACCATTTCAGCGAAATGTACGTTTGTCTGTAAATAATCTCTTGCTTGAACTTTCGCCCGTCGACAAAATTTTATCTTAGTTTTTTATTTAACTGCGGGTGGTAAAACAAAATTTCTTGTTTTTAGACTTTATATTTCGATCTCGACTCCTCTACCTTACACACTTACTTCTGGATTTTCATCCACAGACTGTAAACTTACCAAAGTGAATTGCCGAAACATGTCTTACTAAATGTGAAATATGCTTTGCAAAATTACTAAATAGACCCAGGAAGCATAAAAGGGAATTGCAGAAGGTACATAAGAAAAGCAATTGGCACACTAACAACAAATCCAGGCGTTTAACTAAATGAAAAACACTTCAAATGTCAAATGTGATCCTCATCGAAAAACGAAAAACCACTTAGTTAATTGCACTATCTAGTGTTTGTTAAAAGGTTTTGCTCAATTTACACCCAAAATACACATTGGCGCTCAGGCTTTGATCCCGTTTCAAATAACCTTTATGGCATCGGGTTTCAAATAACATTCTAATCCCTTAATTAATTTGATCGCATCTCGTTCTATTGCACCAGACCATCCTATTCTAACTTCTGATATAGAACTACACCTAATTGCACTGAACTATAGCTTTATTGTCGAGTCCTCATTCCTGCTACCCTCTTCTACCACTTGGGAAATTAGGGCGTTACAAGATATCACTTTACGTCGACACTTCAGTCAGGAGAATGGAGCTATAGGAATGCTCGGATTCCATCATTACCAAAGAGATCTCTTTAAGGGAAACATGTAGTCCAAACATTTAAAAGATAAAAGCAAGAAATGTAGTATGATAAAGTTTTACTTTGCCCTTAAATACGTCTAATTAAAAAGGATTTTCAATTAAGTTAGTTGATTCAGTTTGTATCTTATATCTAAGTTGAAGTCTTGGTAATTAAAAAAAAACAGGACTCTTACTTGAAGAGCCGGAAAATACCACAGGAGTAGGTATGCTGATGCATTATTTGCAAGAGGGTTAAGTGAAAATAATTTTAGGTTGTTAAAAATGCAATTGAGAAAATTAAATTCACAAAAATTACTGAAACATTCTACAGACAGTTCGAGAAAATATTTTGTGTCCAATTTTTGCAGCGCCATCATAACAAGTAGAGCTCGGGACAATTTCAAAGAAAAGGAGAACACGCCACTGATGGTTCTTAAAATGAGGATTTGTTATCAAATTTCTGTTCAATTTGGAAATAAATTACAGATTTTTTAAGTAGCACGCTTTTTTTAGTTAAAAAATTCAAATGCAAACTTGCATTAACAACTTATATTGACTTAATCACGAAAAAGTATTAATACGGCAGTATTGGATATATAAAACTACTGGGACTAAAACATTCAGCAAGCAATGCAGTAACTTACTAAATTACGCGGTAGATTCGTTTGTTAATTGTGATATATCAATTTATTCAATCTATATAAGATGATATACAGAAATATTACTGTATTCCAAAAGGTTGGCTTGGAACCCTGTAGATAAGATCCAGTTATTTTAGACCGACAGTGCAATTTATATTTTCAAAATATCCTAACAAGCGTATAAATCAGATCAACATTCGCGAGATAAAAAATCCGACGTCAAATTTCGAGAAGTTATAAATAATGAAAATGTGTCGTGTGTTACTCCAGCTATTCGAAACGGTAGCGGCCAAAATGTTCGATTTTAAAAAACTTTACTGTTTTGTTGCCTATGAATGTTTAATGAATACCATCCACATTAAAAAAAATTCCTACTCGAAAAAAAAATAGAAATGAACAGAAAAGTGAGCTTTTGAGGATTTAGCGAGATGCATTGTTGTAAAAAAGAATAATTGCTAATAAATGAAAAAGAGATATCGCTTAAATGCACAATCCTATTTAAAAAATTAAAAATAAACAACAGTTGTATTTTTGGAGGATAGAATCAACCATAAGAATGACCTTTGAACGTACTTGGTGCTAAAATAATGCACTTAAATAACAAAAAGTTTAAAACGGCATTGCTTTGGTTAATCTTCTCACCAATAAAAATAAACACACCCGATACTTTATGCCAGAAATAAGGGCCTAAATGAAAACGACATATTTTAAGATCGATTCGGACATAATTTAATACTCTCGAATTATCTAAGATAATTTAAGATGCTAAACTCATTTACTCTTGATATTTTGTTATCCTTAATTTGTGGGCTTTTAATTTATAAATCGATTTTATGCAAATTGCCTTCTATCAAGTAGTTTTTAATTTCGTCATATTTTCCGAAGTTTATAATGGAAATTTATTTGAGAGGATTTCGAATTGTTATGCATTAATGTTGAAATGTTGCCTAAATGCAATAACAAAGCAATATTCGGAAGTTCAATGGCTTAATTAAAGCAAAACAAACTTTGGAAGAGAAATCATGCTGTCAGAAAGAATGAAACAACGCAATTGGAAGTTGGCGCACATTTAATGGAAAACACATAAGCTGAAATTTCAGATTCGTCAAAAGTTTCCTACAATGAGTTCGAGAAACGACTTTAAATTTGCATGTTTTTATTCTGTTTTATGTTCTGACGAATGGACGTTTTACAAGAATGGATCTGTGAATCGACTTAATTTCCATTATTATTCCAATCTCAATAATTTTTGGGCCTCAGTTCAAACCCTCACCAGTTTGAAATTAAATAATTTAATATAATTATTTATTTTATCTAATGAAAATAACTTATTTCAACAAGAGCCTAGTTAAACCTCCACAAAACCATTTGTAATGTAAATTTTTCGTGTGGTATATTGTTAACAGATATCAATAGAAAATAGACAATTTGAAAAATTTATCGTTTTGTTGTTTTCAGATAATTAACATGTCGAACAGCATTCAATACATTAGTTGTCCAAGCAGGTCGATTTGTGCTTCCCCAAGCTCAACTCCAGAAGAACTGGAGCGCAGAGCGATTATTCAACGGAATGATCTTTTACTGCACGAAGCGGTCATCAAGAACGATACGGATGGTGTCCGAAAGATTTTGAAAGAACCCGTTGATATAAATTCGAGAAATAACGTAAGTTTCTATTATTGTAATCGATGTATGTACAATATTGTATATATGCACTGTGCTAATTTTGCAAGCAGCTACAGTAAGCAGTTGCTGAGTTATCATTTATTTTCGATGCTTACACTTTCTACAACTTTTCACAAATTGACTTCTTATTTAATTCTTTTAACTCCACCAAAAAAATACCCTTGTGCCGTACCCGATTATTTGTGCCGTACCCGGAAGCCTTAACTGCTGTCCCCTAAAATATAAAGCAGCTATCTAGAGCAGTTGCTAAGTTGTGATCTTTTTTAGCCTTGCCCTTTCTCCAATTTACATTGAAAATTGGGCTCTCGGTTAGAATTTTTTTTTAAATCAGCAAAAACTTCTATACCGTTCTGGATTTTTTGTGAAGTACCTCAATGATCCAGCTGCACTGACGCAAAATTTCAAGTTTCTACCGTAAACAGTTGCTGAGTTAAAAAATGTTTTCGATGTTTATGTTT